GACCGTTGATGAACCGACAGCAGGTAGCCGGTCAGCTAGCGTTGTGCTGCGACTGTCTGCGTTGATAGCGACGAATTCTAAGTCTGTCTGTCGGTTCGTGTTTTTATAAAAGCTGCATTCTTTGCCCGTCTGTGTTAATCTGAGGTAAGTCCGCTGCTGAACAGTCTCTCTTCCGCCAGCTAACCGTGAGCCACCAGCTTACTATTAGCTTGGTGAGCTAACTGTTAGCTTAGTGACTAACTGTTAGCTTAGTGAGCTAACCGTTAGCCGCCAGTTTGCCATTAGGTTGGTAAGCTAACTATTAGCTTGGCAGGCTAACTAATAGCTATGTGAGCTAGCTGTTAGCTGTGTAAGCTAACGCAGGTATGGGAATCCTCCCGCAGGTTTTACCGTTTAAAGGTTAATGGAGAGGTTTAAATCGACCGGAACCTGCAGCGAACGTCGGTGCTCTGTTTTCTCTGACTCATTGTCCCTGTTTTAGCTATTTGTTGATCCGTTTATTGGCGTGTCTGACAACCCTGCACGATCCTGGAACAGCTCTGTGTTTAGTTAGCTTTTCTGTCATATGTATTGTTGGAATGCGAAGATCTGCAGCGGGTGGATTAAAAAACAAACAGATGTTCTCTAAACATCTGTGTGCTCAGAGGAGCCTCTAGTTTCCATCAGTTACAGCTCAGAGACCAAACGTTAGCTTGACCGGAAGGAGTTCAAATATCCGATTTACCTGAAACCAGGTGAGTTTATCCAAGCGGGCTGTTTTCTATGTGCGGAGCATTAAAACACCAACATCCCTGCTGATCATTTTTTAATTGTGGGAAGTTAAAATTGTGAACAAGAAGCCACAGCCGTCTTCACAGTTCAGGACAGCAGCTGCTCTCACTGTGGCTAACGGCTAACGAATGAGCTAGAAGCACCCCCTCTCAAGGAGCACAGTGACAGCCATTCGACTTTAGATGAAGATTTTGCTCAGACCATGATCATCAATGAATGTTGTGAATTTGATGGCTTTAAGTCCTTTGGGGTCAGAAATAGAGGGGGGTGCATATTCCGCCCCCCCAGTAAATCTGGAGGGATGCATTTTTAACTTTTCACAGTATGCTCAGACCAAATCTGTCCCTGTTGTTCTTATTAGTTCCACGTGACCTTGTACAGACAGATATTAAATATTTACGTTAGACTTTTTTTTTTCATCTGCAGGCAAATGGCTGTCACTGTGGGGGGTACTTTTTCTGCCAGGGGTGCTTTTTTCAGCACAACACCAGCCAAAAATGAAAAGTGTTTGGATAACAATAACTAGTGGAACTTAAACGTAATAGAATTTTTTTAAAAAGATGGGACAAATAGAGAAAATCAACAGAAACTTCTTGATCTGATGGAGGAGGCTCACATGTCATCACGTTTAATGAGTTTCAGTTTATTCCTAACAGTGTTGTTTCTCCCGTCACCAGTTTGGGTCCTGAACGCGTCACGTTGCTGCACTCACACTGTTTTCGTGGTTTCAGCTGCAGTGTATTCTCTCAGGACCACTTGTCCTCCAGCTTTACGTCACATGTTTCATCTCCTGTCTTCCCTGACACCTTCTGTCTGCAGGAAACGCCACGAGCGTTTCTCAACAGCCTCCCGCCATGTCTCACAACTACCCGTACAGACGGCCGCCGTCTGACACTGACCTCCGGCCTGATCCTGGAACTTACAGCTCTGCGGACCACTGCCACACCTCCGACGACTTTTACAGGCCTCAGGAGTCCTTGTCCTATCCGTCTTCCTCCTCCTCCTCCAGGGCGCCGTTGCAGCCCCCGGCGTTGCAGGCCAGGCCGCCGTTGCAGGCCCCGGCGTTGCAGGACGGCGTTCTGAGCATCCTGAGCAGCGTTGGTCTGGAGCCAGACGATCTGGCTCTGCTGGCCGAGCTGCCGGAGGACGTCCTCACCGTCGAGTCGCTGCCGCATATCCTCAAGCAGATCAAAGGCAAGAGAGGCACCATCAAACCTTTCCTTTCGAGTGCTCCCTCCTCTTCCACCTCCTGTTACTCTGGAAGCTCCACCCAGCGACCCGCCATCAGCACGGACTGGGACCAGCGGCAGCCGGTCCAGTACCCACTGGGCCATGTACCGTCCAGCCCTCTTTCATCTTCTAGCACCTGCAGAGCAGACCACCCACCATCATCCTCATCCTCATCATCCTCGGGTTTCACGGTGGACTACCACCACAGACCGGGTCCCTCTGACTATGGTAAGACTGGTCCAGTTCCTTCTCAGAACCGACCCTCTTTCAGCGCAGCAGAGCCGGGAAACAAAGCTCGCACTTCTTGCTACTCTGAAGCCCGAGCAGCTGATTTTCCTAAACCGAAACCAAAGGAGGGACACCGCGAGTCCAGATTCTCTTCCAGCAGGAGCATCCCATTGAAGAAACAAGCTCAGGACTTCCACGGGACGACTCCAGCAATGTACCCGTACTCGTGCTCTCTGTGTCATATCACTGTGCTGTCAGAGAGGGTAAGTTCACTGTCCTGTTCGACTCTCTCTTGGGTTGGGGAGGTGTTGAGCTGCAGCAAAGGATGATGGGAGCTGCAGGCGTCGGTTACATATCAGCAGAGCGGCAGCAGCAGCGTGTTCACGTCTTGTTGTTTTGTGCTTCAGGTTTGGATTCAGCACATCAATGGCACCCTGCATGCGGATGGACAGCTCAGCCTGCTGCAGCAGTAAGTTCAGCTCTCACCTCAGTTATAGACCACGGCTCACTGTAACTGTGAACCCTGAGCTGCTTCTGTTTGTACTTACCACTGCAATGTGAAGTCTGTAGAAACGGCACAAATATGACTTGAAGGAGAACAACTCTGACACGTCTTCTGTGTTGTAGACAGAATGACGAAAATCAGAAAACAAGTAAAGCTGAAAAAAATGGAATCCACAACATTTGTGTCCAGAGGTGTCTAACACTTGAGAAAATGAAGGTTCCACATCTTAAAAGATATTCAAATACAGTCGTGACTCGATAATCCGACACTAAATGTAAAACCTTCTTTCATGTTGGATAGCAAGGCTGTCGGATTGTCAAGACAGAGGTCCAGATACAAGGAGGGCTTGATGCTGGAAGGCTCATTAGTTGTTAATCATTGTTCATAGTTGTTATAATAACTAGTAGGGCTGGTCCCAGTAGAACTTTCTGCTTTCTGGATATTCAGGCCCAATTAATGATGAATATCCAGCGTGGTCAGGCGATGCTTCCACCCCGGGGCAGCGCTTTGACGGGGTGGAAGTGTCCAGAACACACAGGCAGTACTTGGCTGCTGATGCTAGTTAGCGCTCACACTTCTGTTTCCTCCATCGGTGGCGGCGGGGGAGTGACAGATACGCTCCACCGTTACCATCCATGTTTACTTCCATAAACACTGAGCACGCTCGCTGCGTGTGACGTCGTCGTGTCCTCTTCTGCGCATGCGGGACACTTTTGGGTCGTATGAAGTTCACACAGCAGATCACATACAAGTCGCATTGAACTGGAAACGTGAAGGAACTCACAACAAAATCAGATTTCACAAAAAAATCTGAATTTAGCATTAAGTCCTGCAGTGTGAACGTAGCCAATCTGTGGGATTGTTCAGTCAGATAATACGCCGTCATCCTGATTGGTGACATTAAATGTCATGTCGGAGTCACAATCCAAGGCTGTCGCTATGTTAAGGCTGTTTTTATGGGTTCTGTTTGTTTTTCCTAAAAAACCTGTCAGATAGCAGGTTTAGGATTGTTAAGGGTCGATTATCTAGTCATGACTGTATTTACATTTTTAAAGCCTCTTCAGACTGACATAAAGCTTTGTCTCCTTTCTGTCTTTCTTGCCTCGTTTACTTGTTTTAGTTGTTGGTGTTGTTCTTCGTCTTGTTTTGGTCTTTTTGTGTGTCGCTTTGTGTTCTTTTTTTCATGGTTTCCGATGTGTCATATTGCCATTTTTTATCTGGTTGGTAATGTTTTGTGTGTTGTTTGTGTTGTTTACTGTTTCTCTTGTCATTCACCCAAAAGCTCAGTTGTGCTGAGGAGGGAAGAATTGTTGTGTTTTTACAGATTTATAGATGAGACATAGACCTGGTAGAATAAAGTGATTTTGATCATTTGTTGTGACTTTAAGCTCAGATGTGGTTAGGTTGTTTTATGTCATGTTACAGATGAGATGTTCAAGGACCGTTGGAAGGTCAAAAATCCCACAATCCTCTCTGCTTCTGCAGTTTCAGGCCGATAATTGGTGTCATTGAGAATAACAGTAAAGATTTTCTGTCTTTTAAGGGGTTTAGAGGATTCATGACTTCAGTTCTGGTTCTGAAACCTTTTGCCTCGTCTCTTCTCCAGGTTTCCTAACTGGGACTGTCGCATGGAAACAGCCGGCAGGTCAGTGAAACATCAAACCGTGGTCATCTTCACCATCACTTCACTGAGCTCCTTCAGATCTGTGATCAGCTGCCGTTAGCGAAGCCAAATGAACAACCTGAACATGAGCCGAGCAGCAAAGGATCATAAAATGTACCAATATGTAGAAGACTGAACAAAACTATCTGAAGAATATGAATTAACATATTCCTGATAATAATAATAATAATAATAATACAGTTCAAATCGGTAAAAGAGCAGAAATACTGTAACTAACAATAAGGTAACGTCTCTGAAATATGATGGTCATAATAATACGGAAATTATAAAGTAGCAGGAAAATAACTACTAAACTAAAATGTCTGAATATATTTATAAACGGTTCAAAAAAGTCTGATTTCTTTAGAAAAATGTTGTCTGAAAATAATAAATGTCCTAATTCTATCAGTGAAGTCCAGGATCAGGGTCAGAATAAGATGAATAAAATGGCCAAAAGCTGTAGTCAGTGGTAAAATAAAAATCATAATAGTAATAAATCAAATAAAAATACAGATACAGATTGTCGGTAAACTAATATTTGGAACCTTTATACATCAAATGTTCAACATTAGCAGCATTTGATACCAGAAAACTTGTCTCAAAAATGACCAACAAATAGCTGAGAAAAATATTAATAGTGTCACTAAATGTAAGAAATATTGTGTCAAAAATGTTTTACATAATTAAAAAAAAATATTCAGATTCAGAAAGTAATTTTAAAAAAAAAATCCAATAGATATCAAATAAATTGGTAAAAATTTTACAGCAATGAAAAATAAAACAATTTAACAAAATTAATAATTAAATGTTTTTTAAATGTTGTAAATTGTCCAGAAAAAAGCAAACAAACAATAAAGTATGAATTTGAATAAAATCAAAATAAATGAAATGTCATTGCGATTAAAACATCAGCACTGAAACCACGTGTGTGATGCTCTGATTGAGAGACGACGTCTAAATCAAACTTTCCTGCTGTTTCAGGGAAGATAACGAACCAGAGAAGCGGAGGGACGATAAGAAACGCAGCCCGCCGCGGCAGACGTCCAGTCAGAACCAAAGTAAGTCCACCTCTTTGACACGTATCGGTGCCATTGATGCTGTCGTGTTCTGCATCTCTGACACGTTTCTTGTGTTCAGCAGCACCGCAGACGAACCAGAAACAGCAGAAGAAGGTAAAGACCGAACCTGTTAGAACTCGTGTTTCACTGCTTCTGTACGAACTAACCGTGTGTGTGTTCTGTGTCAGACTTCAGATAAAGGCAAAGTGGTGTGTGTGAAGTTCCCGCCTCAGTCTGTGGACGAGTCGTATCTGAGGAAACTGACGGAACCGTTTGGAAAGATCCTCAAGATTCTCATGTTTCCGTCTTTAGTGAGTCCACGAGCTTTACTATTCA